GTTTGTGGCAGAAACGTAAAGAGCTCCCAAATGTTGGTGGTGTTTTTAGTAGGGGTAGGAACGGTGTTCCGTCTCGAAAGGGACGCGTGGTTAATGGTCAAATGATTACGGCAAGCAACAAATGAGTACGCCCCCCCCCCCCACCCTTCCGATACATCACCAGACTTGAACGTTTGGACTGCTAGAAGCTCGAACTCCACAGTTTGATGGCAGCAATACCTCTCTTCGGTGCAAACATACTTATCTACACAAATCACAACAACGCTCAACAACCGAGAGAGGACCAGGTTTGATGCCGCTTTGACAACCAACGGCGCTCTGCTGTTCCAGCTGCAGCGGCAGCAGCGATGACGATGCCCCTCCCATCAAATCGTATTCCCAGGGACAACGTAACGTACTGCTGTCTCGACTAAACTTCGCCCTTGGACAGGCACTGCACTTTTTTTAGCTCCTGAGTGGGCCTTGTTAAGACCCCGCTTCAACCGGTCATCCGGCGAGTACAATGCAGTATCGAGAGCAAATGGCGATCTACCCTGCTGTGCTCTGTAACTTTCTCCCTTAGTCCTTCGTCTACACGGAGCCCCCTGCTCCCGGTCGCAAGATGATGGGCTGCCTACGCAAGGAAAGAAAGTTTCTTACGACATGAGAACAGGGAGGGGGCACGCAGACCCTAACCTGACCCAAACGCCAACTTAGCCTATTCTATACTATATCCAGTACGTTTGCATACTTCAAAAAACCTGCGCAGAACACCGAGTTGAACAATGCCCGTCCCCATCAGCTCGAGCAGGTACACACGAGATCAGCGGCCCAGTCAGGCGTGGCGCGCAAGTAGTCCTTCCCGCCCGGGGAGGAGGATCCCTCTCCGTCGTCGGCAGGGGGGTCGTACGGCGATTCGAGCAATCGAAGGACGCGCTGGACGCCCGAAAAGTCCCCCTTCTCCGCGTCCTCGATGGCCTCCTGTGAAAAAAAACACATACACAAAAAAAAAAATGGTTTCTGGCAAAGCTGACCATGGACGAAAAACAGCAGAGAGGATTCCCTCCCGAAAGCGAAAATATGGCAAGCAGGGACAGAGTAACCACATCAACTTACACGCAGGATGAAGCAGTACCGGAAAACGCTAAATGTGCCAATTCTTGTCGGGGCAATCGAAACAAAGGTGGGGTGATGGTAGCCGATGTGGACCAATCCCCGAGAGATACGCAACACCTGTTAATACCACCTTCCCTTGTCCGTAACAATAGTAGGAGGTTTACTCCTATCGGAGGGGGGGAAAGGGGTTGCTTCTAGTGCGTTCTTCGGTCGCACATTCTCCTGAAAAAAGAAAAAATAACCACGCCCTTGGGGGTTACCATTAGCAAAGCTGAGGCCACGTCCCCTGCTGCTCTTGATGTAGATTGGTCCGCGAGAGGGGCGACAAAGGGTTTAGATCGTTCACAACAGTTTCAAGCGACAGCAAGCTCTGGTCGGTCTTACAAACCGTATTACTTGCCTTCTCTCTATGCGCGTCTGTCTCCCTATCCTTCTCTGTACATACCCTCCCTCTCTCTCTGTCTCTCTGTCTCTCTCTCTGTCTCTGGCACCTGTGCGACCCAGTTGCGGAGGATGAAGGCAGGATTGGCAGCCTCCATAGCCTCACGCCTGCGGTCTGCATCGAAACCCTCCTCTCGCCCTAGCCGTTCCGAGTAGCGCCTTGCCCACACGCCCCATGCAGCAGCGTCCTGCGGCACCAGTAGCAGCAGTCGCCGCAAGCGGGAAGCAGAGAGGCGGAAGCAAGACCATCGGGGGAAACGCAACAAAACAACAAAAACACAAGAGGGAAAAATCGTCTAAGGAAGATAGAGCAGTAACTGCTGCAGTAGATTGCTTAGTTCTGATCACTTGGTTTGAAGCACCCGTGAAGCTTGGACGATAGAGAGCAGCTGCTGTAGAATGTTTAGTTCTGCTCACTATCAGAAGCACCTGCGAAGCTGTACCTGGAGTCCTACGCAGGTTCCTAGCCCGAAGAATAATAGTTCCTAGCCCGAAGAATAATAGTTCGAGCCGTGGTATCCATGCATGCAGAGGATAGCGCTACGTTAACAATTCAACACACCCCGAGATACGATCGTCGTTCTAGAGAACGAGCAAGGAAATTCCAGAGGTTCCGGCCGCCCTCTTGCGTGTTCACACAAGCCTTCCCGACCTATCTTAAGCTTGAAAGTCGCGGTACATTACCTGCTACGTACATCGACATGCAACAATATCGTAAAAAAAATGCTGCTGTTGGACCCCGGATCATGTTTTCGATCTGGCAAGTACCTGCTGTAGCACAAACATATTTACAAACAGAGAGATGGAAGGGGACGACGACGGGGGCCCGGGGGGGGGGGGGGGGGGGGGGGGGGCCCTCCCCCCTTTTTCCTCCCCCCCCCGCCCCCCCCTTTTTTTTAATTTTTTTTTCCCCCCCCCCTTTTTTTGAAAATTTTTTTTTTTTTTTTCGAAATTCGCGAAAAATTTTTTCTTTAAAAACCCCCCATAAAACCCCTTTTAATAACCATTTTACAAATAATTCGCAAAAAAAAAAAATTGGCCTTTTAAAAAAAAAAAAAAAAAATTTAAAAAAAAAAAAAAAACTTGGTTTTTTTTAAACCTTGGAAAAAAATTTTGGGGCCCCCTTTTTTCCCAAAAACCCCCCCGGGGGGTTTGAAAAAAAAATTTTAAAAGGCCCCACCAAATTTTTTCTTTTTTATTTTTCTTAAATTCAAAAATGGAAAATATTTCATCCAAAACTTTTCCAAAAAAAAAAACCCCCAAAAAAAAAAAAAAAAAAAAG